AACTGCAGTGGGTCCATCGTTCATTGTTTATATTTCCACTGTCTAATGTATTCTTTTCATAAAGTTTCCGATGGATAAATTATATTTCAAAAAGATTGCAGTTGCAAAAAAAAGGCCTCAACAGCAGCCATATTGCTCAGGAATGTGATCACGTGAACCACTGCAGTTTACGCAAATTTGAATGCATTTCTTGTCAAAGGGTTCACTGTGACAAATACAGTGAGAGTATAAATATATAACTTTGATTTGCACAATTACAACTACCAGATCCATTTACCTTTAACAGACGGACTTTGATGTTACGATTACAAAAACCAATGAAATGAAATTGACAAAATTGAAGCTAGGGGCTCTCAAAAAGTGCTAAGTGGACATTAATATTCCTCACCATTAGGAGATTCAAACCTACAGCACCTAATCACCTAGTAGACGACTATCAAACCCTTAACAACTGATTGAGTGTCATTGAATTGACAATATATATCTATTTTAGGGTATACTAGTAATAATAAGTAATGTTTGTAAAGTGTGTATTATAAAAGGGTGGACTGTATACTATAGTAATATACAATATTACCAGGGTCTATTCACAACCCCTTAATAACGAGCTAAATTAACATTCAGGTGATCATTAGACAATGTGTTACAATAAAAAATAGGAATTGTCCAGCAATAAAAAGGGTTTATTTACGAACTAAAGATAATATATGTGTCTCTATAATTGACAAACCACACGAATTCACTGAGAGTGATAATTATAACCAGTGTGACTTTAAGTTTAAAACATAAACATAATATCTGAAGAAGATGTAGATAGTTCATCAGTGGGATTCTTCCAATGACTAAATAATTTGTATTAACTGGAATGATCAACAGTGTATTTGATGAGAGGGATTTATACCTAGATTATCTGGAACAGATTGCTCAGTTGGAAATATTTCATATAGTGGATTAAGAAGGATTAAAGTTAATTAATAACCTGCAGAGCTAATTAAATCTTAATTGAAATTACTAATTAATTCTTTTGGAATTAATAGGATACTTTATTCACTTGGATTTTATTTTTAAAATAAGGCCGTGGCTATTCATTCTGTGATGGTACAGAAATGGGCATTAAAAAAAACATATGGCCATTCCTACCTAACCCTGACAAAGTCACTTAATATCATTCTTGACAATCAAATGGCTTCACGCTTTGAAAAAACAAAAACTAGAGTGCCTATTGTGTCCTTTCTTATCTGTATCGTTGTTATCATGCGACGAGAACATGCATTGTGTCAGTGCGTTTAAAAAAAAATGCAATTAAAAATTTGTAAGAAGTGCAAGTTCATGTGAAAATATTTCTATCAAAAATTGTTTATTTGAATATCAGAATCTTAAAAACGAATTACTACAAGAGAGTGCTGTCTTAATTAACTAATATCTTAATTAGTGAGATTTATGCTTAATTACACTAAGAATTAAAATCTACAGGAGAGCAAGTGACATTCTGTTTTTTTATAAGAGATGACATGGACAGATTTAAGAATGTGACTTACAATTTTTTCATAAAAGACAGATTTAAAAAAACAAAATGGTGAAAAGTGTCAAAATATGAAAGTTTTTGATATTGACCTCATGACATGTAATCAACGCCTACCCAAGGGAGATAAGCCTTTGATGATAGAGTGAAAGACAAACCTGAATAACGAGAAACTTGGTATTTATCTCGCTGGACATCTTATTCTGTAGTCAGAACTGGAATAGTCAGGGTTAAAATTGTATCTACTTGTTTCATTAAACATATTTTATCATACTGGGAACTGGACTTATTGGGGTTAACATCGTTCAATTTGACTGTTGAAAGAAACAGGGTTAACGTATAAACTGGCCTAGTTTAAAATATTTGTGAGAACTGGATAAGTGGGACTATTTTGTCATACTAATTTATTTGTGGAAACTGGACAAATTTGACTTGTCAAAATGTTGAAAAATTTGGATTATGCTGAATTAAAGAAACTAAGAATCAAGTCTTGTTAGTACTATTTTTGATCATTTATTTTTTTTTATACCGAGGCAAAGAGAAGGGAAGGATAGTGTTCAGGGGATTGTAATTTGAGTTGAAGGGGAATTCAGTAATTAATGTATAGAATGCATAAAACCTAGTTAATTGAAAATGTCTTAATATCAAAATCACATCCAGTCATATTCAAACCCCAATCAGACATAGCTGGCAAATAAAGCTGAATCAACAGCCCTGACTGAATCATTTAAAATAAACAATATACTGAATGTGATTAAACTGAAAGAAATGTTTCCCTCATTGACTCATTATAATTTGAAAAAATATTGGATTCAATTCAGTTCAAGGTTTGATAATAATTTTGAATTTGACTGACAATCAGAAGATTTCGTGGGATTGAGTATCAAACAGTTGGAAACTTCACTGTCTGGTTTCTTTTATCTCAACAGTTGAGTTTGTAGGTTGTGAATTTCCCTTATTGTTCAGTGCATTATGTACCAAATCTGGAGCAAAAGAGTAGAACATTAAGTCTTTTAAATTTAATTTCCTGTGATATTTGACGAATATTATTTTTTACCGTGTTATAGATATGGATATGGTTCACACCACTCCCAAGTTCGTTAAGGATACATCAAAATTCTGGTACAAACCCAACATTACACGAGAGGAAGGTAAGTCTTATCTGGGCAAAACAGACAATGAATTTGAAAAGAAACTATGTACGAAGTGTACATGATTTTAGAGGAAAAATAGTAGAAGCCTATACACCAGAACTGGACACAATGTTCGCTCTTTTAATGAACAATGCTCTCAATGATGTGATGAGCTCACTAGTCTCAGTTTTAAACAGACAGGCATCCTGGCAATCTATGATACAGTAATGATTCTACGCCCCCCCTCCAGATCCCCCCCCTCCCCACCCCCAGAAAAGATGTGCCTGACTTTGGCTACCCTCTCCAAAATTTTTTTTATCATTTTACATAGTGAAAGGATGGCCTGTGGCCTCCTTGTCTGATAATAGTGTTATGCTATTGTACAAGCAATGTTGTTTTGATTTAGTGTTTCCTTGATGAAACTGGAAATGATTCAAACTCATTTAAACCTTGACCTTTATTTTTATTAAAAATCATCCATATTGTACAATTAATCTGAATTAATCAGAATGGTCACATAATCACGTTGGAGATGACGATCCAACTTGGTAACATTCAGATTGGAGGATCAGTCGTATAAAATGTGTTTCTTTATTCCAGCTATTGTGTTATTAAAAGACAAATCACCAGGAACCTTTGTTATTCGTGACAGTAATTCTTTCCCAGGAGCCTTTGGTTTGGCTCTTAAAGTTGCTACCTTACCACCCAATGTTCAAATCAAACCCTCAGGTATGGCTCTGTTTTTATTTAATTGATATTTACGTTCATGGTCAGAATATTTCAATTTAGACTTTTAAAAAATAAATATCTCCAGTCATTAGTGTTTAAAAGGAAGAAGAAACAGCAATTTTGTGAAAGGTTTTTACAAGACAGGTTTATTAAGATCCTGTCTACCATCTGATCTTTGGCTAAACCTCTTGGCATTGATTTTTACAAGATTAACCTTCTCATTTACAGAAAAGATGACTTATTCAAGTTGACCAGACTTTCACAAGTTGACTGAGATTAAAACTTATGAGCATTATTTATTGACGCAACAAAGCAAATGATGATGAATTCTAACACAGTGACTGTGACAGCACATCTGGAATCAATGTATCAATAGCTGTTTGACAAACAGAAGGTGTGCCTGGATTTAACTCTGGGTCAACAAAGTCACACACTAATTAAGTTAGAACCAATCAATTGCTGAATTTACAGTGGTAGTCTTGATTTTAATGGTTTGACAAATAGAAGGTGTTCCTCAATAATATTTTTGTATTCCAGGGGACCCTCAAGCAGATCTTGTCCGTCATTTCTTGATTGAGCCCACACCTAAAGGAGTACGTCTTCGGGGCTGTAGCAATGAGCCAGTTTTTGGTAAGTTAATGTTTATCAACTCTTGCCAGAATTCACGAGGAAAGCATTTACAACTAATATGAGTAATCTTAAGTGAAACTAAGAGATTAGGATGGTTGAAAGGTAACAAGTTACTATCCAACAGAAGGCACAGGGTTAAATAGGGTGGTTGAAAGGTAACAAGTTACTATCCAACAGAAGGCACTGGCACAGGGTTAAATAGGGTGGTTGAAAGGTAACAAGTTACTATCCAACAGAAGGCACTGGCACAGGGTTAAATAGGGTGGTTGAAAGGTAACAAGTTACTATCCAACAGAAGGCACTGGCACAGGGTTAAAGCAGAGCTCACTAATAGTAGAGATTAGGGTGGTTGAAAGGTAACAAGTTACTATCCAACAGAAGGCACTGGCACAGGGTTAAAGTAATGTTCATGCATGTTAAGGTTAATATGTTAAGATGGAAATTCATACTCATAGGAAACTAAAAATGATTTTATGATGAATAGTCAGCTGACTATCTTTTTAAAAAGTTCCTGGTATCACAAATTTTTAATGTACAATTACAATTACAAATACAATAATCCACGATTATCTTTACAGGAAGTTTAGCTGCATTAGTCTACCAGCATTCGATGACCCCGCTAGCCTTGCCGTGTAAATTGGCGCTGCCCGACCCAGGTCAGGTGTACAACAATAGCATGCACCATAACTGTAAGCTGTGTATATGTTAATAGCTAGCTAAGAATTTAACCAATCTCTAGGTCGTTCTAAAAGTTTTGTTTTGTGGCTGTTGCTCAAACAAGCAAGTTATTTTTTTTTAAGAAAGATAGCTTAGTTTACTTGTCAAAAAAGAATGTATTGAAAAAGCTGGGCTAATTAGTTATTTCATGAACCATAATAACTGTTTTTCTAAGGAGTAAGGCTTGAAAGCTCCCTGAAGCATTTTGTCTGAAAAACCTAAATTTTAGGTTACATTATCAGTGATTTTTTTGTCATTCACTCAATTTTTATGATTTTAATTTGATAACCTGGGCCCTTTTTCTTGAAAACTAATGCTGATTGGACAATCACTAAAATTTATTTTAATTAAAGATTTATTATCCAATCAGATTACTGTATTTCTGAAAATCTCGATTTTATCTTAGTTCATAAAGATAAGGGCCCAGATGAACTTGATGAAACACTTCCAATGATATTTTATACCAGCATAATTCCTAAAGATTGGTTAATACTTATAAAGCACTTTTTATCGCATGTGGCCATTTCTGCATCTCAAACTTGGGTGTCTAGAGAGTCAGAATCGGTAAGGAAAGTTGCAGAAATGTGCCCATTATTTTCCTTTTACATATTATAGTATATCCATTTGTTGTGGTAAGAATTATAGTCAAATTGCAGTGATTTTTATGTCGTTTTCATCTTGCAAAGATTTCATAAACTTTATTTTGGAAAACATCAAATTAGTTGGGAATTTTATTTGTATTTACGGGAACCGAAAACTGTTCAAAAAAAACGTTTTGCTGACATTATTTTGGCTTTTGATTGGTAAATATATTTTCAATCAGCAGAAATTGCAGCCAATCAAAACTCTGCACTCTCCAACGCTGGGATTTTGTGACAAGGACAAAAGGTGCATTCAATGTCTATTGCTTCTCAGAATGCACCTTTTGTTCACATCACAAAATCCCAGAGTTGGAGAGGACAGGAAGTTGATTCGCTACAGTGTCATTAAATTGACGAATGTTCTAGAAGGCCGTCTTTAGACCCTAACTGAAGTTAAAAATAAAAGCTAATAAAAAAAATTGAACAAAAGTTTGGTCAAATTTTAATTAGACATCATAAATTGTATTTGTCTCTTTCTAACAAAACAACATGTTGCGATATAAAAGTTTATGTTTTCGTTGTTTAATTTGTTGATTTGTTGAATAAATCTTTAAATTAGTTTTAATTCTAGAGATATATGAATAAAAAAGTTAAGTTTTAAAAAAGTCTAATTTCTTGCATGATGATTTTTGTTAATTTTCTTCAAATTTGGATTTAGATTTCACATATGAATATTAACTACATCTTTTTTTTTAACTTGGCCATTTTCTTAAGAAAACTGGCTGTGCTCATTTAAACACTGCTTTTCATATTCTGCATGCTTCTATCTTCACCTTTTTAATATTTTTCTGCATTGAAAATTTTCACTCTTGCACATATTTTAGACTAGTTTTTTTTGAAATTCTCACATTTTTTTTTAAAGAATTTTTGAAAATTTGATTTGTATAAAAAAAAAAAAAAAAAGGCTTGCATTTTCAAGAGTGTAAATTTTCAATAAGAATTGAATTCCCTGGTATTTAAAATTATATCATGCATTTTGTGTGTTTTATTTGTAACAAAAATTTCAAGGGATCGGAATTTTTCAAGGCAACATTGATTGAACTTGAGAAATATTGGGAAATTCATAAAATTATATATCATCTTCACAAGTCAATCAACAATGAGACTCGCTCTAATGAATTTTCTGAAAATTATCCACATAAAATTTTGAAATTTAGCAACTCATTGTTTCGAATTTTAGTTGAGATTTTTGTTACAAATTGCTAGAGTATATCCTGTAATGAAAATGAAATTTGCATGCTTCTATATTTCTTGTCATGCAGCTGTACATTGGAGAAAGAAAAATGTTTCATTTAGCACCTCAGGTAATCACTCATTTTCAGGACAAAATTTGGATTTTGGATCTGATCTTGCTGATATCTTTAACCTGTTTAAGGCCTGCAGTATCTCTGAGGCTTTTTTGAAATCCACTATTTATACAAAACGTATTTTCGTATTCATTATCTCAGCAACTATCAAATTATCGGGTTATAGGTTATTGCAATTCCAAGCAGTTATTGATCTCTATATTTCATTAAGGAGTTGAGAATGAATTTTGCATTTGACAGACTTTAGTCCAAATAATCAACAACCAAATCAATCAATGATTGCACTGATATCTGATGTTCTATTAACTCTGTGAACTAAGCACACCAAGTGTCTCTTGTTAGGCATTTCCAAATCGAAAGTTACTTCAGGTTAAAGAATTGGCAAGTCGGAACAACATCATGAAAAATACTACTCAATGATTGGATATCTATTAATAACAGCCAATCATTTTGTAGTATGACTATTCTAGTATGAGAATATATGAGCATGCTCTGCTAAAACCTATATCCTATATATTTGACCTCTGTATGTCTTTGTTTTGTTTTGACTGTCTGAAATAGTTTTGTTTGAACTGTCTGATTTTTAGCCTGCACTCTTACGCATGCTACGGAACCATATATCCAAAGATAAAACAAATAATGCTCCCTAACATAAAAATAACAATTCAAGTTGATCTCACGATTATGGTTACAGATTTTCTAGTAAAGAAATTGTATATTGGAATATGCATTCCACAAAAATAACCAACAGACATTGCATGTTAGTTGTAGTCTGAAGTCTAATTCTTAACTTCTATTGCATGAGTTACTTCCTCTTGTAAGGTCTAATAAATAAATCTTAATGTCAAACAGTAGGATGTTAAAAATATTTTAAATACTTGCATACGATTGGTCAGAATATGTCATTTAGAACAATTTGATTGGTTACAGATGCTGGAAGTGAAGTTTTCTCGTCGGAGAGTTCAAGGACAATGGAGATGCCGAGCTCTGCATCTTCTCTTTTACATCAAGGAGCTGGTATGTTTCCAATAGCAACAATATTTATTCTTGACTAACTACTAACACAAAGCCAATAGGGTGTCTATACCATCAAAATGTCTCATCTCCTATTAGAGTCGTTATTGTAAAAACGTGGATTTGAAAATCAAAGTGCATGATCTTGAACATATTTCTTACAAAATTTGATTCGATGATTTGGATTTTTCTTGTAAATTTTCGAGAATAGGACAAAATTTCATTGTACGAGTTTTTTTTTTATGGAACTGTTGTATTAAAGGGGAGAGAAAACTCTATCCAAAAAGATATTAGTCTACAGAAGTTATAGAATATTTCTTTATCAACCCTGGTCTTTATTTTGTGTATTTTTTTTTTTAAATCACTGGATTCTCTCATTGCACATGCTTTTCATGTTTTTAGTTTTACCCATCCATCACATTTGGTCATTGTCATAGAAACAGATTATATACTGAATCTGAATCTCGAAAAACTGAATTTTCAGTGTAAAGCTGAGCAGACAAATTACAAGCACTAGTCACACATGCCTGGCTGAGCTTAGAGAATTGCTTGAAGGTTGTTATCAGACATGACTGGCACATTAAGCCAAATCAACATTCCTGATCACAGGATGGCACTCTATAGTGGACAAATATCTCGAAGCAATGTCCATGTCCAACATAACATTCTTACTTGAATACCAGTATCATAAAAGGAAACTATGATATAAATTCTGATGCTTATTAAAATAGCATGGTATAAGCACTGACCTAGGTCACAAGTAAAGACTATGGATGGTGTAAAACTCCATTTCATATCACAGTTTCAAATCTAACCCTCATGTCCTGGTTACTTTCAGCCTGTAATGTTATTTACATCAACACAGTGGATACAGAATCTCTGACTGGACCCCAGGCAGTGTCCAAGGCTATAAAAATGACAATGGATAATCCCCCCAACCATAAAACAACTGTGGTACATTTTAAAGTATCTAATCAGGGCATCACATTGACTGACAACCAGAGAAAGTAAGTATCAAAAACTTTAAACTTTATCTTTCAAAATATTTAATATAGCTTATGCCTTCTGGGAAAAACTGAATTCAAAGATGACAATCTAAAAATTGAAATAATTGACAAGAATAACTAGTGACTGTCTCCAATAATGTTTACTAAACTTGCAATTATAAAATATTTTCACTGTTAAAATAGTGCCCAACACACCAATTGAAGTTTGACAAGTAGATATCTTCTTCATCTTCATATCTTCAGACCTATTTCAGCTTGGGTCCTTACTGAACAATCATATCAGTTGTGGTTTGTATTTTTTCTCCAGGTCCCTTCCTCACTATCTGATGGATCTCTCAGTACTATTTCTGATGGATCTCAGGTTCAGTACTATTTCTGATGGATCTCTCAGTACTATTTCTGATGGTATTTCTGATGGATCTCTCAGTACTATTTCTGATGGATCTCAGGTTCAGTACTATTTCTGATGGATCTCTCAGTACTATTTCTGATGGATCTCTCAGTACTATTTCTGATGGATCTCCGGTTCAGTACTATTGATGCTTGTTCTCTATTTTACAGGTTATTCTTCCGTCGTCATTACCCTGTAACAGCCGTGACGTATTGTGGTATGGATCCAGATGATAGAAAGTAAGTCTTTACCTCAAACCAAATCCCATGTTTCATTCTCTGGAGTGCCGCTGTTGCTCGCTAACCTGAAGGTCCAGAGTTCAATCCTGGCATAGGTAGAGATAATACCTTTGGATTTCCCCTGTCAGTGATGCAGGTAAAAGTGGATTGAAAAAAGCGTCAAGTCCGTCAAATGGGACAATAAACGGAGGCCCTGTGTGCTTCAGGCTAATGCTGCTGTCCTCGCAAAATTTCCCTCACAGCACCTGCATGGCGTTGCCCATCTTCTTTAGCCCACATGATGCAAAGAAGTAGGATGTAAAACTCCATTCATTCATTTTCCTTTCATCCTCTTTCATTCACTTGTTATCTGCTCTCTGTGCCAGTGACATCTGACTATAAAAGAAGTGGTGGGCCAAGTCCAAAAACTTAAGGATGGGAAATGAATCTTGATGTGACTCTGCTTTATCAAGTCCTTCCACACATGCATTCTTTCTACAATCTGAAACTGTATATGTATGGTTAGAAGAGCTTATTTATAAAAAAGATGGGTGCTTTCGTTGCCTCTACCTACTAAATCTATTGGTAATGGTTATTTTTGTATATTTTAGGTGGAAGAAAGATGTAGATATGATTGGTGCAGTGGCTGATGCTAGGTAACAATTTTAAAACATTTATTTTGTGAAAATAGCAGCCACTTCATGTACTGTTTCTGGGATTTGTATGCTTTATAATGCAGAAAATATAGGAGAGGTTAACAATATCTTATCAAGATTATAATTCCAATACAGATGAAGAGTTTAAGTGTTTGAGATCCAGAGGGCTATTTAGCCATTCAGTCAGAAATTAGAATGTCTGTCTATTAAATATTCTTTATAAATTCTCTTGGCCTTAAAAAGTCTGAATTAGCCAGTCTTAATTGACAATAAAAAAATACTATATTTATCTGAATTACAAAAACACAACAAGGGAATATATTATGTGTTTGCAAACTTCTTACTCTTATATGTGCTCTGTATACATGTCGTTTTTTATCTTTGTAGAATTTTTGGTTTTGTGGCCCGAAAACAAGGAGGGATATCAGACAACTCTTGTCATTTGTTTGCTGAACTGGATCCTGAGCAACCTGCGTCTGCCATCGTCAACTTTGTTACAAAGGTTATGATAGGTCAAAGCAAGCCCAAATCTTAGAACGAAGAATTTGATTGGACAATTTTTCAAAATGCAGGATGTTCATTGGTCATTTTGCTAGCCTTGCTAATCTGTCTTTCACCGAGTGTTCAGCTTTGAAGGATTTGTGTTGGACAGAAAAGGTTTCATCAGATCTTACGGTTGTGTGTGGACATAATTTTGAAGTTATAATGTATTTGCATAAATTTATTTTTTAATTGTTAATATATTTAAACCACGGTTAATGCGTTTAGGGACTATTTCTTGTTGGCTGATGATTTGAGTAAATTGTCCAGATTAATACGCCAATAGCCAAAAAGGCTTTTAGAGTCGAATATTTTAGGCTGACTTTAAGATGGGACTCTTCCATCTTAGTCTGTTTGAGCAAAGAAAAAACTGCTCAGATGAAAACAAACAACATACGATGCAAGCTTAAAAAGCCTATATTCTTACGCTCAGCCAACAAGAAAATAGTTCCAGTAGTGAACAGAATCTAGATTTATAGAAGCTTTTTATTATCTCCCCTTACTTGTATATGATAAACTTGTAAATTGATTTTATCGCTCCTTAGCTTGGCATATATAATTATCGCTTTGTAGATACATGGAGAGCCTTTTATATGATATTGTACAGTTTTTTTTGTTTGAAACTTGAGATTAGTTTGTTATTGTGTAAGGGCTATATACTAGATAAGGAGACCCAATGTAAAATGATGTATAAGGAAAATGGCCAAGGTGGTTATTTATACTGAATATGTATGACTTCAGCTAATAATTACTGTTGGTTCAGGAGCCGTAAAAAGAATTGATTCTATTTTGGGAGAGAAAATTAGCTAAGCTGTAAAGTGTTCAAACTTTTGGCAATCAAATTTGGTGACTGAATCACCCGAATACCTAAAAAATAACGTGATGGCTAATTCAAAATTTGATACAAAGCATTATTTAATGTCATAATATGAAATGTTCTAAACTTATAAAGTGCTATGTAGATGAAAGACTAGATCTAGAAAACCGATCAAAATATTGACTTACATTATTTTATTAAGATTATGAATTTAGGTACATTTTCTTCGTTAATATTATTTGTATCTAATTATTATTATTATTATTATTATTATGTCCTTGAGTGCTGGAATTCGGCACGGAATCACAAGGGATATTATTATTGTTGTTTTATGTTGTATGTTTAAATATAAAACTGTCTTTTTATTTAACTGTATGATATTCTGCCACTAATGTTTTCTTCAATATTAATGATTCTTTTAAAATTTCAATTCAATTGCCACTTGTTGATGTAAATTCTGCAAAAATTACAGATGTCTTAATATTGACTTGTTGAACGGTCAATTTGAAGGCATATAAAGAATGCTGTGTTGGTGATAACGTTCAGAAAGTTCTCGGGGACGGCAAATTTTGCTTCTATCATGCTTTTTTCTTGTTTTTAGATGACTTATATATTACCTCTTTGTTGACGTGTCTCTCTTTGTTTTTGTTTCTACGGTGCTCTTTGTTATATTGTTGTATAATTATATTTTTATTATTTTTAACCAATCAGATCGCTGGAGATTTGAAGTCCTGTACACTGTATATTGCATCTGCTGTAACCGATATATTGGAATACAATAAGGTCTTGATGCGTGTACAGCAATGGGTCATTTTGACAGAAATATCATAGCTTCAAACTTCAAAGTAATATGAAATGTCCATATTGCTGTCATAACCAACAATCAATGTGCATTATAAATTTATGACTCGCGTAGTTATGATGTATCTAACAGGTGCCCCTGTTTTATAATGCCCTATTATTGTATATAATGTACCATCATTACGAAATCGATCATAATAACTCGGCTTATAATGTCTATATGTTAATATATAAATATACGCGACATGGAGACCATCCCCCAATTTATATTTTTAGTTTTTAAGATCAAAAAATAACTGCCAATGTGGCTGCCGAATCGTGATTGAAATCCAATGCTTGAGTTTATGCTGCACAAATAGACATGAAAATAAAGTTATTTTGTGTTCAATTTATTTTACTGTCCAAATATGGCAATGATTTTAGTGCCAGGCATCATGGATTAATATTTCAAGTGTTAGTTATGCTGCTGACAGGGCAGTTATTTAAGTGTACATGTATATATATATACAGCATAATTATTGTATAAGTCTTGAACTATGTGGCCTGGGTTACTATTTTTATCTTCATTATAATAGAGATATATTGAATTGGGGCGTTTCCTGCGCAATGTATTGACTTATATCACGCAATAGCACAACGTTTGCAAAATATTTAAGTTTCTGCAAATGGTTGTTGCTTAAGAGGAAATTTCAAAGTATTTGCTATAATTGCGGATGGAAGCGCCCCCTGCATGCTGTTAAGTTATTATTAACTATTATCCCACCACTATATTCATTAGAAAGACATCCCGCAGTTACTTTTTATTTTTTGACGTAGGGTTATCTCCCCTTTCTTGTTAGAATCTTAGAATATTTTGGTTTTTTGATGATTAGAATTTCTCCTTTTCATTTCATTTGATAAAATTTATTTTTTGTTCTTATTTGATTTTAAAATTGAAAAATTTCATATTTTGGATAAGGTTTATTTTGTTGCTGAAAAAATCCAAGTAACTCCTGGACAAATCGCAAATTTTATTTCTTTAAAGAAATGTACATAGTAATTGAAGTGCCATTTCCCTATTTTTTCATCATTTTAAAATCATCTAGAGCTATCTATGCATGGGTGTGTTCAAGTTTCGTAATAAAAAAGAGTAAAATAACATTTAAAGATGAATTTTAGCAAAGATGTTTAAAACCGTTCAGATTCTTACAATGATAGTTTAAGGTAGAATTACTTTTAATAGCAACTCAAGGATTTTTTAAATGTTCAAATCTATCTAAAGAATGTTCAGCTGTAGCAATTTCTTTTCAAATTTTAATCAACTTGAAAGAATTTGTTTACAGAAGAGAATGTTCAGAATTTATTTAGATGTTAAAAATTCTGATCTGATAACCAGGAATAGTTTACTAGTTATTTAAACGTTAGTCGTTAAGCTGGAGTTGGACTGTTTAGATATTAATCTATTAATTATTTACATTATTGGTCTCAAATATAAATAAATAATAATAAAATCATCTTTATATTATCTTGTGTTTTTTCTTGTTTTGATCTAGCAGAGATATTGACACAAATCCAGGTTTGATTCCAATCATAAACTCAGCATTCTATATTATTTTTAGGGTTTAGTGAACACGATACAAGTCTGGTTATTATAGAGCTAATTACTACTTATTTCACCTGGAATCAGAAATAGACTGTTCTCAGTTAAATTGTGAATCGTACATAGAAAATCGTTACTGGACTGTACTGCTGTGTCAACAAATACCTCCCCCACTCCCCCACCCCCCTCTATTCTAGTCTATGAATTAGGTAGGCCCTGGCATATGATAGTCAGAAATCATTGAAAAAGATTAATAGCCCAGAGTCCATTTCCAGCACCTGATTATCTTAGAAATAAGAGTATTTTGATATTCAGATGCGTACTATATACTGGTCCATACTATATTCTAATGTGTACTATATACCGGTGCGTATTATATTCAGGTGCGTATTATATACTGATGTGTACTATATACAAATGCATACTATATTCAGGTGTGTACTATATATACAGATGTGTACTATATATACAGATGTGTACTATATATACAGATGTGTACTATATATACAGATGTGTACAATATACAGATGCGTACTATATTCATATGCGTATTATATTCAGGTGCGTATTATATACAGGTGTGTACTATATTCAGGTGTGTACTTTATTCAGGTGCGTATTATATACAGGTGTGTACTATATACAGGTGTGTTCTATATTCAGGTGTGTACTATATACAGATGCGTACTATATTCAGATGTGTACTATATACAGATGCGTACTATATACAGGTGCGTATTATATTCAGGTGTGTACTATATTCAGGTGCGTATTATATTCAGGTGCGTATTATATACAGGTGTGTATTATATTCAGGTGTGTACTATATTCAGGTGTGTACTATATTCAGGTGCGTATTATATTCAGATGTGTACTATATACAGGTGTGTACTATATTCAGGTGTGTACTATATTCAGATGTGTATTATATACAGGTGTGTACTATATTCAGGTGTGTACTATATTCAGGTGCGTATTATATACAGGTGTGTACTATATTCAGGTGTGTATTATATTCAGGTGCGTACTATATGCAGGTGCGTATTATATACAGGTGTGTATTATATTCAGGTGTGTACTATATACCGGTGCGTATTATATTAAGGTGCGTACTATATAAAGGTGTGTACTATATTCATATGCGTATTATATACAGGTGTGTAGTATATACAGGTGTGTACTATATTCAGGTGCGTATTATATACAGGTCCGTATTATACAAAGGTGTGTACTATATTCAGGTGCGTACTATATACAGGTGCGTATTATATACAGATGTGTACTATATTTAGGTACGTATTATATTCAGGTGTGTACTATATATAGTTGCGTATTGTAATCAGGTGTGTACTATATTCAGGTGCGTATTATATACAGGTGTGTATTATATACAGGTGTGTATTATATACAGGTGTGTACTATATTCAGGTGCGTATTATATACAGGTGTGTATTATATACAGGTGTGTACTATATTCAGGTGCGTATTATATACAGGTGTGTATTATATACAGGTGTGTACTATATTCAGGTGCGTACTATATTCAGGTGCGTATTATATACAGGTGTGTACTATATTAAAGTGCGTATTATATTCAGGTGTGTACTATATTCAGGTGCGTATTATATACAGGTGTGTACTATATTCAGGTGCGTACTATATACAGATGTGTACTATATACAGGTGCGTACTATATACAGGTGCATAT